GTATTACACAAAAAATCGGGTAAAAATATAGAATATCTATAAAATTTATGTATTTCAACCCCACCCGCATTTGTATAATTGGCTTTCTATATATTTGATATATAGAAACCTTAATATTTTATTAATATTTATGGCTTTCTTATATATGATGTATTGATATTTATGATTTTTTTGTTGTGTTTTATTATAATTATTTATGTATTATAAAATTTATTGTGTTTTTTTAGTATTATTGGCTTATTGTGTTAGTTAATTGGTGTAGATTACTTAATTAAATTGTTAAAATAATTCAAAAACTAATAACTAAAAAAATGTGTTCACTCAATTTCCTACTTGACTTCCTATCCGATTGTTTTGGACGAAATTTGGGTAAAAATAGTATACTTGATTGGATAAGATAGACTAAGAAAAATTTTTTCCGCAAAATATAAGATAAGAAGATAAAATACCATAATTCATACCCGTAGGATAGAGGAAACACTCTGAGCTAAATAAACAATTTTGAATGATCAAGCCATTAGAAGTGTGATACGAGGTCTCTTCATATCCTCACCCACGTGCAATCCAGGATCATAAATGGACTAATAAACCAAATTAAAGAAGATAGACAAACATATCATAAATTCAAATGTTTCAAAGATTTAATTAAGATATCATATTAAAACATCCAATCCAGCATCAATGTTGATTGATCCAAATCTTTGGCGCTCTTTTCACAATGTGGTGGTACATTCCCTCTTGAAAACATAATTGGTTATGTAGGATATCCTAGATGTTTTCACTATGATAATCATATTGTAGGCTATAAGAGCCTGAACCTTTAAAGAAACATCTGTTGGCTATAAGAGCCAGAAAGTCAACGCTAGGGGCTCAATCAAAATGGGAACAAAATATTATTTAGAGTTCATAGGGCCACAGTGAAATTATTTTTTTTGGGAGGCAGGGGGAGGGGGAGGGGGGGAGAGGGCAACTTTGCAATATTTTGAAAAGTTCTACAAACGTTAAAAGGCCAAAACGAAATATCTCAAACTTAGAAGCCTTTCCCTGGAGGAGCTCCTAAACTTTATAAACAATTTTGGATGATCAAGTCATTAGAAGTGAGATACGAGCTCTGTTCACATCCTCACCCACGTGCAATTCGAGATCACACAAGGACTAATAAGCTAAATTGAAAAAGATAGACAAACGAAATACCACAACTTCAAATGTTTGAAATATTTAATTAGCGCACAAATGTTGATATCATATTAAAACATTCAATCCAACATCGATCGATATCGAGATTGACCCTAATCTTTGGCGTTCTTTTCACAATGTGGTACGTTTCCCCCTCGAAAACACAATCGGTTAAGTACGATATCCTAGATTTTTTCACTATGATAATCATATTGTAAGGAGTTCAGCAACAGAGAGGAGAGAGAATTCGTACACGACTACTCTAAAATTGACACACGAGGAGAGTAAATCCACCAAAAGGAAAATCCTCCAACAATTTGCTTGAGGTCTCCTCTAATTCTGCACGTCTATGTCTCATTTTACTACAAGAATTAGGGTTTTTTGAGATAAATTTTATCTAGCAGTTGTGTCCACCGTCACAAAAAAACATATTTTGAAGAAAAAAAATGATTTTTGTGACGGTAGTGAAATCATACAACATGCCTCATCATAATAAGTGAAGCCTTAAAAAGTCTTTGTGACGGCAACGATCGTTTCAAATATTATTTACGACAACAAATAAACCTAACAGCGCTATTGCCAAAAAAAAAAAAAATTTCCAAAACACGCTTTTTTTGTGACAGTGAATATTGTAGCTGTAAAAAACTTATCTCAAAAGACCATAATTCTTGTGATTTTTCTCAATAAAAATCCCAAAATTAACTCTTTTTTTTAGAAATTTAAATTTAATGAGGTTACCAAGGAATACAAGAAGACCTACACTATTTACTTTCAAGTGGTGTATAAAGGGCAATGCTAGGTATAACACAACAATTCTGTCATACAACTTCTCATCATTATATTGTTTCAATGCACAAGCAGTTTTGAGAAGCCATATTTTGCAGGAGCAATGTTACAAAATTCAAATAAAATTCAAAAAGTTGTAACTCAAATGCATATCATCTCTTGGATGAGTGGATCCCATCAATTTTTTCAATGAGATCCACTCATTCCACACTCATCCAAGGGATGATATGCATTTCAGTTTTAACTTTTAGATTTCATTTGGGTTATGTAGTATTTTTCATTTGGGATATAGAACTAGGATTTAGGTCTTTGTTGACAAATTCTTTTAGACAAACATTTGGGAGGGAATTTAAGCAAATACAGAAAAGTTTGGGCGGCCAACACTTTGAATTTGTTATAATTTTAAAAAATTTATATCAAACTAGGAGATTTTTCAAACGTTAAACAAATACCTTTCTTGCAGTCCGTTTAAATTTTCTCCCTGACAAACTATATAAACCTACTCGGTACAGCTGATATAGTAATCTACTAATCTAAAATGAAGATTTTTTTTTTTTAATAATCTTTGACCAGGCCTACTATATATGTAGTTTGACTTTTGCAAAAGAATAAGAACAAAATGAATAACAATGAAATCTATTGTCTATGACCAAAAAGAATAATAATAGAAAGCTAATATCTATCTTATGCTTGTGAGAGGTATTGAAAAAACAGGAAGAATAGTCATAAACACTAAAATAAAAAAAAAATTGTGTCTAAGTTTGGTTGATTTTAATATGAAAAACCCAATACGGCACGAGATGGCTCCTTGGACCATCCATCACAGCAATGCTTAGGCATATGTGTGATCTCATTTTTCCATATCATACTCTCTTTCTAACATCATCATATTCTCTATAGTTCACCTCATATATAAATGAGCCCATGTTGTATATAATTAGGTTCATATCGATTCATTTATTAAGCAACTCTGACTAGTTAATCCCGTTACTACTTGAATTCGTTAAGTCTAAACGTATATCTAATAACTTTGTGTCGATTTTATGTTGACGAGTTGTGTTGAAAATTAGCAGCAATAAGGGTTGGTTTTCAAGTTGTGTAATTATAGGGTAAGTTTTAGCAGTACAAAATCTATATAATAAAATACTTAGGAGTTTTAATTTTTATCTCATACATATTTTTTCCTCCAAAATCATCTCATCATTCAATCCTATCACATGTTTAATCATTTAATATTTGATTAATTTATAGTTTAACATAATTATTGTTTCATACATCCATACATGATAATGTACACATGTTAATAAAAATTTGTCGGGTTATACATTTTGAGAAAATTTTGATGTTATTTTAAAAAAAAATAATAGATAGAAATTAATTATAAATAATGTAATCAAATAAATGAAAAAATAAAAAATTATTATTTAGTATAATAGGATTAAGTTTTTAAACGATCAAATTTTATGTTTTATAGTTCCTTCAAGTACGGGTTATAACTAGTATTCTCATATGCAAAATATTTGTTCATGTAACTTTATTGTAACTCAAATGTTACAACAAAATTAGAAAGGATGAAGCTAACTATGCAAAGTGTCGGTGGTAAACAACTACCAAGAATTCGAGAAATTATTTTGTAAACTTTACTCCACATATGTGCCAGTGTACGTTTGTATAAGAAACGTTTTGAGGGGAAAAAGGCTAGAGATATTAAATCGTCATCCATTCTAAAACCTTAAAAATGTTGGAAAGGGTGTAACTGAAGTATTTATATTTCAATGCTTACAATCTAAAATGGTCAAGATAGAAAATAAAGTTTTGCTCCAATTGCATTGTACCATGAATCACTATGTAATCCCTTTTTGCTCCCTAACTTGCTAAGCAAATGGTTAGAAAAAAGAGATGAAGAATTGTACATCTTGTGCATTGCACAAGTTTGGCCGCTAGTAATGCTATAAAGCTAACTACTCTTACAAAAATTATTGCGAAGCAATAAAGTAAATAAGATCAATCTAATTCTAGTGCAACTTGAATATGAATAAGATGGACAAATTAAACTTTAGGAATTTTTTGAGATTTTCGTGTTAGATTTAAATGAGAGAATTACGTATCGCAACAGAAGATAATACTTATTTTCCGTTATATTGTACAAGACACAATGATGAATGTTGAGTCATGAAAACCTAAAACTTTCATCAAGTCACAACGATGATGACCTATGTTTAACAAAGAAAGTACACTCTATAATACAAGCCATGTGCTCTAGAAAAAGACCACCTTGTTTTTGTGCATCCCCATTAATTATGGACCATTAATCTTTGTATGGCACATGCTTAAATGTTTAGTAGAGAAAATAAAAATTCTTAATCTTCTTAATGTGTAAAATTACCAACAAATATGTATATCGAGTTAATCAGAATGGTTCTTGCGAGTACCCAAACTTAGGATCTCAAGACACTAACACCTAAAATGTTCCCATCCAAAATAGTATCACTTACCGACAATCCAAGCCATCTCCAACCATGGAAACAATATTCAAAAGCACAATCAAGGTCTCATCCAATCCACTTGCAATCAAAAAAGCAAAACTATTTATTACCAAAATAGGACCCCCACCCCCTAAAAAAAACTAATAAATCAATTTTTTTTGTAATAAATGAATGATTGAGATAATAAACAAATAAAGGAGACAACAAGAAGAATCTTGATTTCATCATCTTTATCCAACAAAAAAGAAATCTTGATTTCATATCCAACGGTTCCCTTTTTTGTACAGAATCCAATCCTTTACCTTACAGAAACAACACATTATTACAACCCATTTCACAGATTTACATTTTCTCCCACCTTTTCCTTTCTATTTTTATGATTTCTTTTTTATGAAGTTCTATTTCTATATGACCATAACAGTAATTTCAACTGGTCCAATACATCAAAAATAATAAAATTTTAAAAACAAAAAACATAATTAAAGTGAGCATTTTTTTAAAAAAATAAAATAAAATAAAAATACCCATGTGATGTGAGGATGATTTTATTTTTTATGCTGAAGCACCAAGATGCTGAGTGCTGTTGCCAATTTCCTTGTTTACCCCTGATTGTATACCATAATAACGAACATACCATTTGACAAACTTTCTCAAACCAGTGGCTAAGTCGGTAGTGGGCTTGTACCCAAAGTCCTTGAAAGCCAGGTTAACATTAGCATGAGTAAACGGAACGTCGCCGTTTCGTGGCATTCTCACCACATGCTTCTGCGCCTTCACATTCAATAAGCTCTCCAATATCCCCACCAGATTCCCCACCGACACCGGCGATGTGTTACCCAAATTATACACTCTCAGCTGCGCCGGAGCTCTTTTCCGGCCACCACTCCCTGTGCTCTTCTGTGCTGTGTCAAGAGCTCCGAGACATCCCTTAACCACATCGTCAATGTACGTGAAGTCACGCGCCACTTCTTTATCTTCCTGAGTCTTGTAGATATCTATGGGTTTTCCTTGAAGTATGTCCCGTGTGAAGAAGAAATACGCCATGTCTGGTCTTCCCCAAGGTCCATAAACAGTGAAGAACCTAAGGCCAGTGAGAGAAAGTCCATAGATGTGATTATAAGTGTGAGCTATTTCTTCACCAGCTTTCTTGGTTGCAGCGTAGAGACTCGCAGGTTGATCAGTTCTGTGAGACTCAGAGAATGGTACCTTTGTGTTCAAGCCATAGACAGAGCTTGAAGAAGCCCAGACAATGGCCGGTTGTGGGTCAGCATTTTTCGAAACTTCGAGGAGATTGACGAACCCGGCAATGTTGGAACTAACGTAAGACTGAGGATTCTCCATAGCGTAACGAACACCAGCTTGCGCCGCCATGTGTAGAACATGGCTGAAGGGGACAATATCAAACAGTTTTGTGAGCAATTCGGCGTCGTTTATATCACCATCGACAACGAAAATCTCATGTTTTTGCAAAACGTTTTGGCGGGCGCGTTTGAGAGAAGGGTCGTAGTAGGAGTTGAAGTTGTCGAGCCCAAGAACGCCGTCGCCGCGTTTTTTTAAAGCTAAGGAGCAATGGGTCCCGACGAAACCGGCGGCTCCTGTTACTAGGACAGAGAATCCGTGGGGGCGGTGAGGGGTGGCGGAGCGGCGGACTTGTTTCTCCCAGGCGGCTCCGCTGCCGTAGAAGGCTGAGGAGAGGAGGTTGTGGCTGGTGTGCAGGTGGTGGTGGGGGTTGTCTGGATGTGGGTGGTAGTTTAGGGTGAAGAAGAAGATTAAGACCAGAGCTACTAAGAGAGTGGTCCGGAAGAGGAGCTTTGAAGAGGCTGCTAAAAGCTTTGTACTGTTCATTCTCCTTATGTAGCTGTGGTAGCGTTCAAGTCTAGATGTTTTGCTTGTGTCCGGTGGAGAAACCATTGTGTTAATTTGATTGTTCTGCAAAAATTTAGAGAGAAAAAACAAGAAAACAGAGAGAAAGATCTCAAAGAGAGCTGATTTGAGGGAAGTCCTGAGGTGGAAAGAGGGTTTGTAGATAGGCTTTAAAGGGGTAAGCCTTGAGAGAGAGAGACAGAAGTTGGTGTTGTTTGGAGACCACTTTCTTTTTCACTTTAACTCGTTTCACTCGCTTACAGATGGACAAGGGGGCCTACAACAAAGGCCTTCTCAATTAATGCCCTTGATCTTTCGTGCAATCACATATTTATGTTATGCAAAATACCACCTATACATATGGGCAATGATATTTAATAAAAAATTTATAATATACAATATAATAGGTTTCAAAAATCGATCCGACAGTTTCGAATACGATCATCTAACAATCATAACTATTTCTCTTAAAATTATACATATTGCACCGTGTCTTATCCCTAAAATTGATAATATTTGGTGACTCTTAAAATTATCGTCATTAATTTAATTATGAGTCTCAATATTTATTGAGACCAACTATTCATACAATGATTGTTTTGGGTTATTCCGTACATATACATATAATCACAAAATTTGATTAAATTTAAAAGATATTAACAAAAATTAACCTCTCAATTCCAATTTCTCTTATTTCTTATTCAAACTTAGAAGTCCATATCTATTCCAAGTTTGATACACAATTTATAATGTGATTTTATAATTTCAAAGAATTTATTTTTGAATTTTCTTCTTAATTTTGACATATTTCTCGCAATATCTATCCGTAAAATTCATCTGGTTGGTCTAATTCCGGGATTCAGTCCTGGTTTAGACACGAATATGAAATCAAACAAAATTACCAAATGGTCCATCACACAAAATTGCTGGGACCAGCTTACCTGGTAGGGACAGGATGAAGTGTAAAGGTTAAAATACTGTTGCAAATTGAAGGAGGACGTACATGAGAAAGTAAATCCTTAATATTTTTACATGATTTTTATTGGCTCATCTTTACCATGTTTGACTCTTCCATATCCATTTACTTAAATTTAAAATAGAAATCAGGCAAACTAGTCTATCGAACGATTTCAAATAAATTCATCTAACGATTATTAATATTAATCTTAAAACTATTCACATTACATCGTACCCTCAAACATGTGTTATCCCTAATTAATCTATGTCACTGTGTCTCGTGGCTTCTATGTAATGCTTTTATATTAGAATTTGTTAGTTTTGCACAAGGGATGATACTATAAGTTGAAAGATAAGCATTTAAGAGAGGAAAAACAATGAAAAAATATGATACAAAAATATAATGTAGTTTGATTCAGTGTACTCATCTTGATACATCGTACTTACATCTATGGACCAAAAACATACATAAATGTATTACTTACCGAAAAATTGGTCAGGTAACTTATTATATGATACTCAACCCTATTTATAAAGATAAAATAGTGTAATCCAATAGAATTTGAATATTACTAAATCTCTATGTTTCCTATCATGTCACTAATAAACTTATTCATGGTTTATAAGGACCCTTTCAATACGTTTCATATTCCATTCGGAATCTTCACATTAATTACCCAATAAATTATCTTTCATGTAATTAAAGGGTTTGAGTTATATTTTAATACAATAATTGTCAAATTTGAATGATAACACTTGATTGAAAAGCATCTTAAATTTTTGGGGATTCTTTTAAATGAGTTTTGAGTGCAAATAAAAACCCAGGTACAAACTTTAAAGTAGAGAATATACTTGGTCCCACGTGAGAAAGCTTAGGTTTGAAAGAGAGAAAATTGAGGAAAAATTACATGGGGCGGAAATTGAATTATCTTAAACTTACAAGTACTTAATGTTCTCTATGGTCAAGAAAGGGGTCCTAAAATTCTATTATTTTCATTACATCATTCTTGGTTGTTCTTGTTTGCTAGCCCACGTTTCGTCACCGACAAATGTATTTAAGGTCTAAGACATCTTTCATGTGTCTTAAGTAATTGAATATGAAATGCAGATTTTGATATGTTTATGGTATTTATTGGTATGTTTAATGTTAGTAGGATCAAAAGCTAGTTTGGTCCCTTAACTTTTTCAAAATGACATTGAAACTCTAATTAGTTATTTAAATTTAGAAATGACTTATGTAGTGCACAATTATACATTGCCCTCCTAGCAACGCAACATTAAGTAATCCAGGCCAACTCAAATTACTGACCAGTGATAGATAATCATATTTCTTTGAGGTACAAAATACAATGAATGAGCAAAATGAAGGTTGCATTAATGGTAAAGATCTCTGAAGAAACCATTACAAAAAGATTAAACATGTGGGAGAATCCGAACAAATTTTGATTTTATTTTTCTGGACCACTGAGAGTTATACATTACGGTCTTACGTAGGTAGATTGAATTCTAACAATCGTCCTTTCAAGAACCTTCCCTAATTATTGGTCCCCTCAAACGTAATTCTTACGTCAAATCCCAACAAATTGATAATCAAAACTTTCAACTTTTTACAATTTTTGATGTTCGATTAATTATTCAAATGCACTACAATGTGTCACAACAATATCATCACTAAGTCCAAAAATGATCAAGTTTATAACTGGTTGTACTTTTATCATTTGATTATACACTTTAAAGATGAGGGCGAGCCTTGACACAACGATAATGTTACTCTATTGTGACTTAAGCTTAAAAATTTGAGTTATATAAACAATCTCTCTGTTTGCAAGAATAAAATTGCATATATCTTATTATGCTTAAATCTGTAGTGACCAAACCTGATTGCATGTAGCATTGTGCACTAAGTTGCCCTTCCTATTATACACATAATAAACAATTGGGGTTTAACCATATGCATGCTATTTAAATATCCATATAGATTAGGTCAAGAAATTTTGAAATTGTTTTAGAGACGATTGTGTGGATAGGATCATTTAGCCAGTAGGGTCTACTGTAAGACATATTGCATAGTCATGGCGCATTAGGTTTCTCTCACTCCGTCGTCTTGATGTTGATAGATATTGTTCATTAGTAGCATGTAGAGGAGCCAACTTGCATACAAGTGGAATGATGTCGTTCTCTAACTACAACAACCAAAGACCTTGTCTTTCCTAGACTTATTTATCTTGGTTAGAGTTATGTTTCAATTAAGTCCGATTGTTCAAATCCGTTAGCAATTCTAAAGGAAATAGTTACAATAATGTCACAAGCGTTAATTAGAGAGTAAATTTTTATTTAGTCGATACTAATGCCATCATTTGTGTGTTTTAACTGCATGTGATGACTCTTATGTTCTAACTCGCTTGTATTTATTTACAAAAATTGATCTCTATTACTGTGGTTCGTGGCTTTCATGTTATGCTTTTCTGTTATAATTGTTGTTGCATTTGGATGGTATTAGACTAGATTGAGAAACATCTTAAATTTTGGGGATATGAGGAGAAAGAAACTCTGAAGGCCTCTCTCCTACAAGGGAAAGCTCAGGTTTGAAAGAGAGAAAATTGACGAAAATTCACATGGGCTAAAACTGAATTATCTAATATTTGCAGGTACTTTATTTTTTCTATGGTCAAAAAAGATACCGCAAAATTTTGTTCTTTTCGTTACATTATTGTCAGTGTTCTTGTTTGTTAGCCAAACATTTTACATTATTGTCTGTGTTCTTGTTTGTTAGCCAACACATTTTGATCACCGACAATGTACTTAAGGTTAGGACAAATTGTACTTTGCACCCTATAAGATTTTAAATTTTTAATATGGCTTTCCTGTTAACTTTCTTTAATTTGTTCGTCAGATATCAATAAACTAACAAACTAAATAAAAATTAACAAAAAAATCACAATACAATAATTTTAATATATTAAGAATATGTAAGAAATTTTATCTGTAAAAATATAAAATATAAATTCTTAAATTTTTGAAATATAAATTCGCACTTTTACAGCAAATTTAATATATTATAGGGTAATTGCAATTGATTGATGTAATTGTATTGTTGTAAAGTTGATATAAAAAGAGAGAATAAGGAGAGAAAGAGTAATGATGAGAGAAAATATGAGTTGAGAGAGTGAGAGAGAGAGAAAAAAAAACTAAAAGAGAGAGATGAAAAAATTAAATCAATATTTTACATATTAGAAAAAAAAAATAAAACGTGAGAGAGATAGAGATAGAGAGAAAATAGGAAAAAAGGGTGATAGAGTAATGGAGAGAGAGAGGGAGAGAAAGAGAGAGAGGAATAAAGTAATAAATAATATTTTAGTCTTTTTTAAAAAAATATGCACTGAGGACCAAATAAGTTTTCTTAATGTAGTTTAACTCAATTAAGTCTAAATTTTTGTATCGACTTCCAAATTTCCTTCAATTATATACTTAAAATTATGGGACCTTCTATTAATTTAGAGCCTAAAGTCCAGATTTTATTTCCCATAGTGTTGAGCCCGCCCTACCCTCACTCTCGCTCCATGTGTTCTAGGTTAAGGTATATTTCATTTGTCTTAACTAATAGAATATAAAATGCAGGGTATGCCACTTTCACTGTATTTATTGATTTGTTTAATTTTAGTCGGATGAATAACTAAGTTTGGTCACTTTGTCGTTATCCTTGAATGCTGAATTAAGAGAATATACAATCAAGCGCCTACTTTTATCAAAATAACAAGATCATCCCTAAAAACTTTTCAAAATGATATAGAAACTCTAATCAGATATTTTTTAATTGAGGAACGGCCTATTTATACAATTCACAATTATATAGAGTTCTCCCCTTCAAGTTTTTTTCTCCATGTCACTACCGTCTTTTCAAAAATCTTCCTAAAAGTTTGGTACTCTCAAACCTAATATAATAATCGGACATTAAGGTGGGAAATAATCTACTTTATAAGTGGACTAGTTATTGTTCGTGCTTGTAGATACAAAGTAATAAAAAAATAATTAAAAATAAACATATTTATATTTACACTCAAAATTAAATTACAAACATAGCAAAGGGAGAA